GAGCCGGGGCCAGCCTTGGGCCCTTTGCGGGTCCTGCGCCTCCCTGGCACCGAGGCCCCGGCTCTGGGTCACCGGGCTCTCCTTTTGCCCTTCGGACGCTCTGTTTCGGGTCCCTGGGAGCTCTTGGAAATCCTTCTAGCATTTCTAGTATCTGGAACCTTAGGGAGTGGTCCCGCGGACTTAGATCTGAAAATGTGGGAGTGGCTTCCTCACCTGATTATCCAGGAAAAGTTTATTTGACACTGTTGGCATTCTTAGGCAAAAATGTATCTGCTGGCACTGAAATGCTGCGTGTTTGACACTTGTTTCATTCATTTAGCCTGACACGGACCAACACCTGGTAGAGTTCCAATTTAACATCTCCCCAATCCTGTGTGTAAAAAATCTGGTTTCATTCCCTTGATTATTTGTGAAGTTGATCATTTTTTTCGCATCATTATTGTTTTGAACCCCCTGTTTAAATCGTTTGCCCATTTTCCTAAATTCCTTTTTCTTGGGTTTGAGGGCAGGATCTTTATTGATTTATGAGAGTTGTTTACACATTCCGGAAAAAGGTCCTTTGGTTACATAACTGGCTTATTGAAAGAGGTAGTCTTTAGTAGTTGGGAGTATAGAGAGCAGCTTTATTCTTATTACTGCCTTTAAATTTTATTAATTTCTTCCTCTCACCTGTGTGCATCTGGGCACTCTTAACGTTTTCCTTGGCTTCAGATATGAGTGTGATCATGTCCAGTTTAAAATACTTATTCAGAGCTGTGGGGGGTGTGAGGCCCTAGATTCAGTCCCTAGCACCAGAAATAATAAATAAAAATGCAATTTCTAATTTTAGCTTGGTGTGGTGGCGCAGGCCTGTAATACCAGCAATTCTGGAGGCTGAGACAGGAGGATCACAAATTTGAGGCCAGTCACAGCAATTTAGTGAGGTCCTCAGCAATTTTATGATATCCTGTATCAAAAGACGACTTTTTTAAAGTTTTGCAGAACATGACCAGTTTGAGTCATTTTCAGTCAAGCCCAGAAACCTGTAGTGGACAATAGGAGTGACTTGGTTTTTTAACTGGTTCTGCAATTTGGTTGTTTTATCTCCCTGGCCTCCTTGCACTTGTTGTCTCTGCCTCTTTAAGATTGAGGTGGAAAGCCTGATGTGGCACTGGCCTGTCAATCTCCACTATTCTGGAAATTGAAGCAGGAGGATTGTAAATTTGAGTCCAGTTTGGGCAATTTATCAAGATCCTGTTTCAAAATACAAGGATTGGGGATATAACCCAAGTGGTAAAATGCCCCCAGAGTTCAAGTGCCAGTTATACCCCAATCCCCAAATATTTAAGTGAGAAATCAAACAAAATCAAGAGTCAAAACTGTCTAAATTGTGCTTTGGCCAGCATGCTTGAGGCCTTGGGTTCCATGCTCATTACTGCAACACAAAACAATCAAAACAGTCTTCAAGAAGGCAGTTTTGGGCTGGAATTGTGGCTCGATGGTAGAGCTCTTGCCTAGCGTGTGTGAGGCACTGGGTTCAATTCTCAGCACTGCATATAAATAAATAAAATGAAGGTACATCAACAACTAAAAAAAAAAAAAAAACAAGAAAGAAAGCAGTTTTGTTAGCTGGCTGGCTCCATGCAGCAGCTGTCAGTGTGCTAGGTCTTTCTTTTGTGGGTAATATGATCTGTTTGGAACCTAATTGACAAGAGATTTCCCATCTGCAGCTTCTGGACAGTATCTCTACCAGTTTCTGCTTTTGTTTCAGGATAGGAGTTGGCAAGCTTGTGGGCCAAATCAGCCTAGCACCTGTTTTTGTATAGCATGTAAGATCAGGACAGTTTGGTTGGGGGAAAAAAATCAAAGAATATTTTGTGACATAACAAAAATTATATGAAATACAGTTTCAGTTTGCATAGTTTTATTGGAGCACACCCATACCCATTCATTTGCCTACAGCTGTCAGATGCTTCTATTAAGAGAGGGTACAAAAATTAATGAGCTTTTGCATTTCTCAGAAACCATAGAATTTGGGCTGGGGTTGTGGCTCAGCAGTAGTAGCGCACTTGCCTAGCATGTGGAGGCACTGGGTCCGTCCAGTTCTCAGCGCCATGTATAAATAAATAAAGGTCTATCAACAACTAAAAAAAAATTGAAAAATTTAAAAAAATGTTTAATAAAAACCATAGAATTCAAGTGTCAAAGGGGACCTCCTTAGTATGTACAAATTTTAATCAGAAAAAGATCTCTCTCTTTCTGTGCTGTGCTGGAGATGGGTGGAATGCAGGGCCCTGGATACCATAGGCAAATGCTGTTAACACTAAGCTACATCCACAGCCCACTATATATTAATTAAAAAAAAAATTATTTAGGAAGTCCGAGATCCCAGGATGGGATGAAAGTGACAAGACTTTAAAAATATTTGTGCTTTTTTTTTTTTTTCTCTTTTAAGTAAAATGCTTATACCATTTCTTTGTTGTTGATTCCCCACACCCTTTCAGAAATCCTCTCTGGGTTTACCCTACACAAGCACTCTTCACTGCCTCCTCTTCTCCCAATGCATATGTCACTTTTGGGGGTTTCGATTATTAATATGGTTTGTTTTTACTCTTAACTTTATGCTCATGTGCCAGTGTACTATAATTGCATTTTCTTTTCTATATGGCTTTTTATTTTCCCTGAAGTTAATAATTAACTTACATTTTGTTTGCTTTATTTCTTTGTGCTGATCACTCAGTAATCCAGATTTTCAGAGGAACTGGGAAATCTTTTCCAGATGTGTTCAGATACACCCAATATTTTGTCAGTTTGTTACTGGAGTCTGGCCAGAGGCCCTGCTATAGGGACCCCAACAGAGCAGGTGGGGCAAATGGAAAAAGTAATTGCGAAACAGGAAACGGACTTAATTTCCTTCCACAGGGAAGGAAAGGGGTGCCAGATCTCCTTAGCTTTGGTTTCAGAGGTTCTGAGATGAGCTTTAGGTTTAAATAGAGGAGGAATTGGGGCAGACAAGAGTTATGCATAATTAAGTAGATTTGGTCAAAATGTGATCTGATTGATCCTTATCTCAGTTTTGGTCACACAATTTATCTTTGTAAAGGAAATTGCCCTTGTTCAGGGGATAATCTCTATTTGCTTTGTAGGATTTTTATCTGTCAGACCTGTGATCCTGGAGAGGGGTCATTTGGTTCCTATAAGATGATTGCTTCTGCTTAGGGGGCAGTCTCATCATGGGGTGATTTGCCTGCAAGGCTCCCAAGTACTAGACATTTCTAGGCATTCTGTAGGGGATCTGGAACAGGATGTTGTAAAAGCTGGCAGATGAATGTTCCTGCAAGGGTTGCAGATATCTTAGTATTCCCATCTTGGCAGCCTCAGTCTTGAAACAGGATGAGACTGGTTAGGTAAATTTAGTGCTAATAAACTTTGAATTACCAGTTTTAGGATCTACTTCTTAAGTGATTACCTGTGTAGGTGCAGAGTTGAATGGGAATCTGTCTCCCCAAAATTTAAGATAATAAAGGAGACAGATAAAAATTGAAGTCAAAGGGCTGGGGATATAGCTCAGTTGGTAAAGTGCTTCCCTCACATGTACAAAGTTCTGGGTTCAATCCCCAGTACCACACATACATACACAAAAATGCAGTTAGAGATGCCAAATTTTATTCTGCTTTTAGTTACCAATTGTGAAGGGTAACTGCAGGCCCAAATGAAGAGTCTGCTTTTTTAAAAAATATTTTATTAGTTATTAATGGACCTTTATTTATTTGTTATATGCGGTGCTGAGAATCGAACCCAGTGCCTCACACATTCCAGGCAAGCGCGCTAACACTGAGCTTCAACCCCAGGCCCAAGAGTCTGCTTTTTAGGCAAAGGCACCCTCTTCAAGTTCCTGTTACAAGTTGAGAGTCATTGTTGTTTGAGGACTTCCCTTTAATGTTTTTCTCCAAATTCCTTCTCCTTTTTCTGTCTCTCCATCCCAGATATTTTTCTTTTGGGATTTACTCTTTGCAAGCATTATAGTTTAGTGACTGACAACACAGGCTCTGGAGCCTGCCCTCCTGGGTTCAGATTCTGATTGATAGGTAACTGGATGTCATCTAACTTTTTTTGGTACAGGGATTGAGCCCAGGGTGCTTTACTACTGAGTCACATCCCCCCTTTTTATTTTTATTTTGAGACAGGGTCCCACTACGTTGCTTAGGGCCACACTAAATTGCTGAGGATGGACTTGAACTTGCAGTCCTCCTCTTCACCCTCTGAGTTGCTGGGATTACAGGCATATGCCACCGTGCCTGGCCTATTGCCGGATATATTAACTGTAACGTTTTAGTGATTTTTTTTTTAATTTTTTTTTTTTTTAGTATTTATTTTTTAGTTATTGGCGGACACAACATCTTTGTTTGTATGTGGTGCTGAGGATCGAACCCGGGCCGCATGCATGCCAGGCGAGCGCGCTACCGCTTGAGCCACATCCCCAGCCCCCGTTTTAGTGATTTTCTTTTGCATACTGCATTGTCTTTATTTATTTTTTGTTTCTTTTCCTGTGTATTTTTGGTTTCTAATTTATGCATTTTCAGATGTGTGGAGATAGTTAGCTTTCAGT